GTGTGTGATTTTTTTTCCTGGTAGGGAACTAACCCGTGTAGATCAAACAGCTCTCGCTGTGGCTGGAAACACAGTTTGAAGTTGACGTTCTGTCTGTCACATGAATTCCATATTTCACTTAATAAGTTATGCAAATGGTGGATTTCATGTTTGGCTTTTTTGTAGTGTTGACTTTGAGTTTTGAATAACATCCAGGCTTAATAGTTTGATTAGTGAAATTAGAGAATAATTGGAAAGAGCAAATTGTTACTTTTGTGATCTGTCAGTGAATCATTTAGATGAAACTATTCCCTGTGCCTTGTTTCCTTGTCTTATATTTTGACACTTGATACCACATCACTCAGGAGGAGCTTTCCCTTCCTTTGCAGGGAAGTAAAACCAAACCCCCCCCACACAATGGGAAGCTCAGAGCAGAGTGGGAATACCAGCACTACCTTAATGCTACCTAATGGATGTCACCTCCGTGGATTTATGGATCCCACTGAATCTAAATAATGGAGGAGAAGTGATGCAATAGCCTTCACCCCTCATTCTCTGGCTTGCTGGCACTGGGGCTGAAAGTAGCTTTTTCTCATCCAGATTCTGTCTGAAGGGAATTTTAGCATTTGTATTTTCTCTAGGTAAAATCAAAGTTAGTCCCGGGTGAGACTGTTTTAAAGAAGGAGATGAAATAATGCAAGAATTAAACCAAAATTTTAACTCCACATCATTTTCCTCTTAAGCAACAAATGAAGACCTGTTACAAATCCTACTGTGAAACACAAAGGTACAATAGGTTGTAAAAATGCTGAGTTACCTTTGGTTTGCAGCATCTGTCTGGTAATAGGAAGGCAGAAGGTTGTGCTTGATGTAAACCTGAGCTCACATGTGCCATGACCCAAGTTCCCAGACTGCAAGAATTGTCTCTGCGTCCACAGAGCCAGGCCATGCCAAGCTGTGCCACATCTGGGCCTCACATCTGCACGGCAAAGAAACCTCCATTGCCTTCCTGAGAGCTGTTTGTAGGCTCATTAGAATAAATAAATAAATACACGGAGGAAGAAAAAAAGCCTCAAATCTCAGCTGATCAGGTCTTGCTGGGTAATTTAGCAAAAGTGCACATATTCTGCCCATTTTAGCAGAAGGCAAGATTTTCTTCCAGGATTTTCCTGACTAAGAAAGTCTGTTGGTGCTGTGAACTAAAGGAGGAAGAAGCAGAAAAAAAACCCCATTCATGCTTCCCTAAGCAAAATCACTTATCCCTGTTTTACCAGCCTTTATCAGAGTTTGTACACCTCCTCCAATTAAATTATTTTTTTTCTTCAGGGGAGCTCGTGAGGCACTTACATAAATTCTCTTAATTTCTGAGTAATGCAGTCCTGACAATCACTTAAGACAGTGGAGTTGATACCACTGTCAGGGAAGACTCTTTTTCAAAAGAATGTTTTTATAGAATATCACTGTGACACTTCGCTTAGATGGATGTCTTTAGCAGAATTTGATTAATGTAATGTAATAAAAGAGATGCACACTAAAGTGTCTGTACATGTCTTGTTAAGTATGTTTGATTCATTATATGTAGTTCTCCTCACTTCTTTTCTCTTTCCTCAGTTCATTTTTTATCATTTCAATAATATATCTATAAATATGAAAAAGTTGGCACTTTCTTTGACATATATGGCTATTAATTCATAACTCTAAAAAATTGTATCTTTCAACTTGTCACTTTAAAGCTTGTACAGTTTATTACAGTAAGTAACCTGTGTTGGAAATTAGATTTTGAACTTTAGCAAGGAGATAAATAAGCTTGTGGACATAGAAGTTATGGAGAAGATACCTAGATATAGTGCTAGAATAAAATTGCATGAAAAGATCACTTACTTGAAGATGATAATTTCAGAGCTCCCTGAGGATCACATTAAGATTGCGTATAGGAAATGGGCTTCAGCTTGAATTCCAATAACTTTAATTCCTAGAAATGGCAATATTTCAGTTAATCCTTTTCCTTGGGTGCACGAGTCTCATTCTGCAGGCCAATAATATGTATCAGCAGCATGCAATTTCACTAAATATAGGAAATTTACTTTAGAAAGACTCCTGACAATTCCTCTAGCCCAAGCTTTGTCTGTCCTTTTGCAGTATCAGTCAATCTGAGGAAGAGGAAAAACCTGGAAAATTTTAATGTCTTTGCTACAGGGTGTACCATAACTTTTAAAGGGAACCAGGGTAGTTGTTTCCTGGTTGGTCAAGTAGGTCCTGGGGGAAGCAAGGATGGTCATTAATGTTTTTACATCGTTTTGCTCTGATAGCAAAATGTTTTTCTGTGAGTTTTTAGCCTGTGAATTTTTCAAAGCAGCTCTGACAGGTCCAAGGTTGGATCACGTCAGGTTTGGGACTGCAGAGGTTGTTGGCACCGAGGATTCTGCAGCTGGGAAGTCTTTGAGTGAATGTTTCTCAGGACTCGTCTGGGATTGGGAAAGTTTCTTAAGGGGGTAAAGGAGGGTGGGAGAGTCTGAGCTGGACATCTACGGAGGTACAGCTCAGCATGTCATTGTCAGCCTTCCTGGAGGACAGAGGGGGAACGGGAAGGGGAAGAGAGGAAGGGCAGGGCCACTCTGCAAAGCTCTCTCCATCCTCCTGCCAGCAGGATTATTTCGTTTGGTTATGGGACTGGGCAGGCAGAGCATGTGAGGAGCTCACACTGCTGACATGCAGAGCACAGAGCACACGAGGAGGGTGGAAACAGTGCCTGGGGAGGGGCTGGCAGTGGGTGTAAGGTGGGTTTGTTGGCAGCAGGAAATACAGAAGTCGGGGCAGGCCGGGAGCGATGGGAAACCGCACAGTGCAACTGCTGCAGGATTGCAAATCACAGAGCGCCTGAGGAGCGCTCGGCGAGCAGGGGAGATGTGGTGGGGAAAGATGTGTGAAATCAGAGCTCCCAAGTGAGGACAGATGGACCAGCCACAGGAAGAGGGAGGCGAGGAGGGTGGGGATGCCACAGAAGACGTGCCATTTGGTACGTGGTGTAGGAGCATTTTGCTGTTACTTTTTTCTGCAAAGCGGGGATTTTATTACTAATACTTTGCCATGGTTTTTGTTAGACCGGGGCATGTGGTGCTGATAACGTGCATCCTCAGAATGTGGTTGTGTTAATTGAGTGCGTGGAGTAAACAGGACCAAAAAAGCAGGGGGATTCACTTTTGAGAAGTGCTCAAGCTTTGGTGTTTTCTGAGGCTTTGGGGAAGCGCACGTGGCTGCCTGGAAACCACAGCTGATGGCAGCAGGTCTTTGGACACCCTGCAAAGGGAACTGAGTGTTCACAAAACAGAGGTATGGTTCTGGATGAACACTGGACCAGTAGCACCCAGACCAGCACAGATAATGTTCATGATCTGGGGAAACAATGGCAGTGCTATTCCAACCCTGTTGGAAAATCCTGGAATCATGAGCTCAGGAGCTGGGCAGGTTGTTCTGAAGCTGATCCTCCACGATACAGTCAAGCCTTAGAAGCTGAAGTTCCTGTTTCCCAGGTGGGGAAGATGATGCTGCCAGGTATGCAGAGGAAGGAGACAGTGAGGCCCTGGCACAGGTTGCCCAGAGAAGCTGTGGCTGCCCCATCCCTGGAAGTGTCCAAGGTCAGGCTGGATGGGGCTTTGCACAGCCTGGACCAGTGGAAAATGTCCTTGCCCATGGTCTTTGAGGTCCCTTTGAGTCACTCTGTGTTCTGAGTTCTATGAATTCTATTGTTCAGAATTTCCTTATTTATGACAGTTGTTAACCAGCCAGATAAAGAAAGCCCAGCAGGCTTTTCACCTTGAGCAAGCCATGTCTCAGAGGAGTCAAACCAGCTGTATTAATTCCTGCCAGCACACTTGTGTTTGGGGGATTGTTTGTTTTATAAAACCAGACGGCCAGATCTGTACAGCAGAAGGAAAAGGGAGAAAAAACAGGTTTTGAATGAAACAGAACAAAACTTCTAGGAGTGAAGAGCTCCTACCAGTGATAATCTGCAACATCTGAGCATGAGCAGTTGGGATAGGAACCTGAAATAATGACTGAACAGAAGGAGGTTGGACCACTGCTGTGAGAAAAAACCCTCACAGTCTTGCTCACATCAGTGCGAACACCGCTCACCTCTAAACTGACTTATCCTGGTGTCTCTGGGGTGTGTTCACCAGGGAAGTTCAGCTCATCCTTTAGGTGTTTCAGCTGTAAAATTAAGGGACATAATTAAAATTATGTGTCACAGAATCACAGAAAGGCTGAGTTGAAAGGGACCCACAAGAATCATCAAGTCCAACTCCTGGCCCTGCACAGGGCCATCTCCAAGAGTCACAGCAGGTGCCCAAGAAGGTTGTCCAAACACTTCCCGGGCTCTGTCAGCCTTGGTTCTGTGACGACTGCCCTGGGGAGCCTCTTCCAGTGATCAGCTGCCTCTGGATGAAGAACTTTTTCCTGATGTCCAGCTAAACCTTCCCTGACACAGCTGTAAGCGTTCCCTCAGACCACCAGAGAAGAGATCAGTGTCTTCTCCTCCTCTTTCCCAAAATTGCACTCAATATTGAAGGTGAGGCCACCCCAGTGCAGAGTGGGACAGTGGGGACGTGGCTTAATGATGACTTGGCAGTGCTGGGCTAATGGCTGGACTCAGCCTCAGAGGGTTTTTCCAACTTAAATGATTTAATGATTCCCTTTTCCCATCACCATGATTTGGGACAGTGAAACAATCAGTTTCTACTGGTAAAATCAGCTAAAGGGCTAGAATATATTCTCTAGAATAAGAATCTCATCTAAGTTAGTAATTTTACTCCATGTGAATACCATGAACAACAGAGAGAGGTGATTAGGGTGCCTGCTCACCCTAGGAGGGCTATTACTGTCTCAGATGTCTGAGTGTAACCTCACACTTGCCAGTTTAGATGGCTTGGCTCTCTTCACGAGGCACTGGTGTGCCTGATTCCTGGGAGGTGACTATATCAGAGGAGCTGGGCTCTCTGTTTTCTTGTATGAAGGACAGAAAGAAGGAAGTGGAGAAGAAGACACTAATTTTTAAGGTAAAATCAGTTATAGGAGGTGGGAAAACAAAGCTGGGGTTCTATCTTGTGGTGGTTTATGAGCTTTTGGTGTTTGAAAACTGGATGGTGAAACCTAAATTTTATTTTTTGTGTAGCAAGAGATTTGGAGTGGTTGGTCTTGTGGGTGTTTAGTGGTTGAGCCCTGGTCTTGCTGTTTGCTTTGGTTTCTTTAAAGAAATCTCTTGAATATGTTCTTAAATAAAACAAGCAAATAAGGTTGTCTTAAGGGAGTTAGTGCATTTACTTGGGTGATTATATTAAGTGTGTGCTTAATTGTTCTTTTGATACTAGCCAAAGTACACAGATATCAGCTCTCAGAAACTGCTCAGTGCAGCTATCTTTGCTTTATTTTGTGAGTGAGGACTAGTGGAGTTTATAAGAGGGAAACAAAACATCAGTGGAAAGTTGCTGTAGGTATAGACTGCCTTTGTATGCAGTTAGAGTTGAAGAAGTTACAACCAGTTTTCAGGGCATTTTTATAGCGAGAGAAGTGTATTTCCTTCTGAAAGATGCCTGGTCCCCAAGCAGAGCAATAAGAAAGGTGTGGGAAACACCTGTGGCAGCTTCACTTAAGGCCCATAAATGCAATGAGTCAGGTATTTTGTCTGTGTACTGAGCTGGGAGCTAAAGAAAATATGTTAAAAACAGTTAAGCTGGCAAAAATAAGCCCTCTCTGCCTGTTGTTCCTGAGAGCAGAGGGAGCTGAGGTGGTGTGGGGCTGGAAGGGGATGCCCAGCTGTGTCTCCAGGAAAGGGGAGCCAGGGCTGCTCGGTGCCTGTGGCCCAGGGACAGGTTGCTGAGCACCAGGGCGGTGAACGGTTTGAAAATGAGGAAGGGGTGTTGTTGCAGGGTATGAAATTTCTTCTGGAAAGAAGGGTGTGTGTTGTGGTGAGAGCACAGGGAGGTCGGGCAAGAAAGCTGTAAACACCTCTCCAGCCAGGCTGTTTCCTTCCCTGTTCCCCCCGCAGCACTGGCCTCCCTGCCATCCCCAGCAAGAAGAGAAGTGAGAATTAAAACCTCGTGCCTTTGGGGGTGTTGGTGTCCCTGCTGCACCTGCTCAAGTGCTGAACAGCAGGTGTTTGTGGCCACATTGGTGCTCCTGCAAGGAAGGGAAGAAGGGATGAGCCTTGCCCAGGGTGGCTGAACGATATTTGGGGTGCTGGAGAAACCTTGGGTGTTGCAGAGATGCCCTTCAGGTCCCAGCAGGGAGACACTTGAGTACAAAGACTTTTCATGTGTTTGCTTGCTGTAGACCTCAGTGTTTTGCCCTGCCATCCCCCTCCTCCCCCCAGAACAAAAACCCCACGGTGTATCAAACCTCATTTTCTCCAAGTGCCTTTCTAAGTTTAGTTTTCTCTCCTAATTGGATGCCAAGATGGGGGAAGGGGGTGGGGGGAGAGAAATTGGTTAATTGATTAGTAATTTAGTCTCTGGTGATATGCTTATTTAAGAAATCTGCCATAGTTATATATGTCAAATGATTCACATGAAAACAACATCAAGTGAATCATATATAAAAATGACATAATTGCTATTAAACTTAGAAGCCATATGTGTGGCTGAGGAAATTACTGGCTTTAGCAACTCTTTTATATTTCTTCCCAAAGCCAGTTATACTCCTCTGAACAGAGAAAGCAACTTTATGTGTAGGAAAATAGTCCCTATGAGTGTTATTTGGGGATCTGTTAATTCAAGGAAGTAGGTGCATATTCCAGCACTGCAGGAAAAGAATCAAAATTGGGAGTGTTGGGAAGCTGAGAAAGGGGTCTGTCGCTTCTTCCTTTTCTCATCAGCGAGATTAAACGCCGGCTCTTGCAATATGCACCATCTGAGATTTTATTGCTTTCTGTTATTTTTAGTACTAGGAGGGAGATTAAATGAAATCCGGGATTATTTCAGACACTGTTAAACTTTTTATTGCTCATTTCTGCTGCCAGGCTCAGGCTGACCCACTTGGGTGGGTCACTGCAGAAAGTGGGGTGTCCAGACAATTAATTCCTCTACCTATATGTAGCCTTATAGAAATGCACCAGCAAAAGTAAATCCAGCTATTAATACAGCTATTCTTTTATTTGACTTAAGTCTCTTCTCAGAAGTCTGTTGTGTGCAGAACTCCACATGTGCAAACAGTATTTTACGTGTGGCTCAGCATCCTTGCAGACTCTGTGGCATCACAGGCTTGTGTCGCTTCCCTGGGTGTTTTGGAAGCTTATTTTTATTTATCTCTTTAAGGCCGCTTGAAATAAACCTAAACTGATTAAATATTTTGCATTTCTTTATCAGGAGATTAATAACTTTGGTTTTTATTTTTTTTTTTGAGCATGTTTTTACTTCAAATCCTTACATTAAAAAAAATTTAGCTTGATACAGCTGACTTGCTGCTTTTTACTGGTGGTTCCTTCATTTTTATTCCTTTTTATAGGGTGGTGCCTTTTCCATTAGTCACAGCCCTGGACACGTTGATATATGCAGTAGGGAAGGCTTTAGGTGCTGGTGGTGATGAATAGCTGCTGGAGCACTCTCCTGCAGTTAATCTTGGCAGGAAGGAGAAATTCTGGTCTTGCTTCTGTAGGTTGCAGAGGTCTCTCTTGTCTTCAGGGTGGGTTTTGTCGGTTCACGAGCGTGCCTGCCAGCTGGTGCTGGCACAGTTCTAGCCCAGGACATCAGCAAGTCCCCCCTGGTGAAGAGGAGGGGTGCTAGCCAGCCATTCAGCCCTGACAGGGTGCCTGTGTCATCATGGAGCATCTATTGTGGCCTGTGTGATGTGGAGAAACCCCCCAGTACTTTCTGTAATTAGTTGTCTATAAATCAACTTCTAGAGGCCGCATATTAAAGGTTAACATGTCGTTATAAGCTGTACTCTGTTATGTCTGGAGTAACATTCCCTGTATTTTGGGCACTCTGAGTGTCCCATGGTTTGTCCTCGGCCGCCAGCCTGGACACACATCGTTTGTCCTGCAGGCCTTTGCGCTGCCCTGGCACAAACAAGTTTGTCGGGAAAGTGGGGATTACACTGTCCTGAGCTGGATTTTTCCCCTGCTGCATGTCTGTCTAATCTTGCTGTGGAGTCACTGATGTAAGAGGAACGAGCTCGGACTGGAGTGGGCAGTGAGCGCGTCTGCGATGGGAATAACGATTTATTCCATAAACACGGAGCGCTGAGGGAGCCCTGAGCTCTGACTCAGCCCCAGCTTGGGAAACCCAAACCTGTCCCCTTGCCTGTGCCTGGCAGCCCCTTCTTTCCCCTCAGACCTCCAGCCTTTCACCAAACACGATCTGGGAACTTGTCTCTGATACGGATCTAGGACTGCCACTGAACTCCTCAGTAAACACAAAAGGCTTTTGTTTCAAAGGGTTAATGCAGCTGGTTTGCTTAATTATTCAAAGGAAAGAGATGAGTTAGGTAGGGAGCCACAGAGTGACCAACGTTTCTAAAGAATAATTGAACTTGCTGTAAATTTTCTAAATGGAAATAAATCTGTGTGGAGAATTGGTATCAGCAGTTGCAAAAGTCACAAAACTTTCTTTTCTTTTTTTTTTTTTTTTTTTTTTTTTTTTTTTTGATTTTGGGAGCTCTTAGTCATTTTTGTCTGCATCCAGGTTCACAGCTGAGTCATTCCTTCTGCTCTTCTTCCCCTGGTGACTTTTCCATGCTGTTTCATTTTTCCCAGATAGATTTACTGGAGTAAGGCTATGCTAACCACACTGCAAGCAGTGAAAACAGCGTGTGATTTCCTCGGGAAGGAGAGAACATCCTCTGTGTTTCTGGGATGTGTATCCCGATCACATGGAGGTCTGTGCAGTGCCAGTGTCAGGAGCTGCTCTTGCACATTTTGTGTTTTCACCTTGTTTGGGATTGGCACAGCACAGGATGGCCTGAGAGAGACAGAGCAAAACGCATTTCAGAAGAGGAAAGGGGCCTCCATATAATGAAGAGTTCAACTGAAATAAGTGTGGGGAAAAAAAAATTATTTCTTTGCATGCCAGATTTCTTGCTACTTTCAAGCTAATCCTTTCAGTTCACTTCAATACAGCCACTGAAGTAGCTTAGAAAAAGAGAGAAAAAGATCTTTGATATGCTAGATCAACCAAAGTTTAAAAAATCTCTCTTTGTATGTGCCATTTATAATGCAAATCTCAAGTTGGCATTTTAGTTTCACTTACTGCTGTTACTGAAGTACCTTGGAATACAAAGGCTGGCGATGGAGGGAGATCCCAAATGACAGAGTGCCTTTAATAGTTCAATAATAAATGAAAAAAAAAATTACATTTCCTTATTTCTGTAAATACCTTCTACCTCTGTAGTGTGTGAGGCACAGGGAAAAAGAGCATCTTACTACAGAGGGTCTGAATTCAAAACTAATTTGAATTTAGCTTTGGTAGTGCTTCCCCAAAAGGATTAGACTCTGGCTGGGGTGGGGTTTTCCTCCTAGCAGGAGAAAATGTAAGTGTTAACTCTGTTTGCTTAGGCAGTGAGCAACCAGTTAAGTTTTCTTTTGGAAAGAAGCCTAATTTCTAAGAGTCGCCTTCCCAAATATATAACCTGATTTCTTTCCCCTGTGTTCCCAACATTTAAGCACTGATTAAATGTCACCAAAGATAATAGGAGAAATGCTCATGACGGCCAGGCTATTTTAAAATAGCATGGGCATGCTTAAAGCAATAAGTAATTTTGCCTCTGCTACACAGTGTGTTTAATGCATATTTAAATTAAACTGTAGACAACTTTGAGCAGGCTGGATCAGGAAATGAGTTATCTTTCTAATTGGGGATATTTTGGGATTTGCCCTGCTGCATTTCACAGTGCCACTGTGTGGAAGGTGACTCTTAAATGGGGTGCTTCATTCTCTGCTTGGTTGCCAGTGTGCCTTTGTCTCCACTGAGAAATCCCTATGACATCAGAGCTGAAGGATATTTCAGGGTATTTTCTGGGAGTCAAAGTGTCAAGACTAGATGTTTAGTCATTAATTTCCCCCCAT